CCCAAACTTGTGTGACAAAACCACAATCCTTCTGGGAGAAGGTACTGTGGACAGATGAGACAAAAGTAGAGCTTTTTGGTCAAGGACATTATGGCACTGTTTACAGAAAAATAAATTTGACATTCAAAGAAAAGAACACAGTCCCTACAGTCAAACAAGGTGGAGTTCAAAGATGTTCTGGGGTTGCTTTGCTGCTTCTGGCACTGGATGCCCTGACTGTGTGAACGTTCTTCTGGCACTGGATGCCCTGACTGTGTGAATGTTCTCATGAAATCTGATGATTACCGAATAATTTTAGGGCACAACATAGTGGCCAGTGACTGAAAGCTGCAGCTCCACCAGAGGTCATGGGTCTTTCAGCAGGACAATGACCTGAAACACACTTCAGAAAGCACACAGAAATGGTTACAAACAAACTGCTGGAGAGTTCTGAAATGACCAGCAATCAGTCCAGATGTGAATCCCATAGAACACCTGTAGAGAGATCTCAAAAAAAGCAGTTTGGGAGAAGGCATCCATTCAAATCTGAAGGCCCTGGAGCAGTTTGCAAAAGAAGAGTGGTCCAAAATTCCAGTAGAGGGGTGTACCTCCACCGCCTACACTATGTGTTTTTAAATGTCTATAACAATTTGCTCACCAAGTATCCTTATACCATCTTGGCTGTATGGAAGATTTTTTGACATGTTTTAGAAACCCCAGAACCCTGAGCTCCTGCACACATACCTTCTTGCCCAGTATTTAGTGAATCTAAAAGCTACACAGAGGAATGGATGAATAAAGGTTTAAGGGCTCCGTACATCTTTTGGTGATTATGATAGGTGAATTCCTTTATGTACAATGGAACACACAGGCAATACATGCTTGTATAAGTGTTATGAGCCATGCAGCATTGTTCTTAAACAATTGGGAGCATGTATTCTCGAAGGCTTTCACGGCTGGGATCTAATGGTTGTTGTGGGTTTTTCGGGCTTCTTGACCGTGTTCTGAGGGTGGTTTTTCCCAACGTTTCGCCAGTCTCTGTGGCTGGCCACAGAGACTGGCAAAACGTTAGGAAAAAGCACCCTCAGAACACGGCCAAGAAGCCCAAAAAACCCACAACAACCAATTGGGAGCATGTTTAAGACTTCTTTTACAGCCTCACCATCTTTTCTATGGTTCATGTGACTGTGTCTTGATCAGAAACAATGTTTTATACTGTATATTTTGTTATCATTGTACATGATTTTGAAGTCTTCATATATAAATGTCTTTATATATATGAATATATATGAATGACGTTTATATATGAAGACTTCAAAATCGTGTACAATGAAACACCAAAATGGAAAAAAGTCCACTTATTTATTTGTGTGTGTATGCGCGTCTGCGTGTGTGTGTACACACACACACACACACACACACACACACACACAAGTGGACTTCTTCTTTTTCCATTTTGTCCAAGACCTGGATGAAATCTTGGCACAGAAATCTTATTTTTAATTGACTAGTTTCTGCATTGTATACACATAGCCCAAGGACAAGCATTCTGAACTGTCATGGGACTGATATAAGGGACCATGGAAACAATAACAGCCCCTCAGCCAAATTCTGATGCTGATTGATGCTGATGCAATTCCTAGTTCCAAATAAAGGAGCTGTAGAACAGAAATAACTGGTGGAAAGTAGGTGTGTCTACTCAAAGTAAGTTGCACTCTGTTTGTTGTTTTAATTCTGTATTCTTCCTAAAATAGATCTGAGCCGGAATCCTGTTAAGAAAAATTGGGCACACAAGCACAAAAATACAAGCAGTCAAGAAAATGCTGTTCTTGCAAAGGGTAGTCCCTCATGGGGCGGGGGGGGGGCTGGTCCTGTGTAACTGCCATTTTCTTCTTGTCTTCCTCGACAGAATTCTGGCTATGATCCAGCCACATGAGCAGGAGGAGGATACACCAATATAATTTTAATAGTATTAGTTTTAGAATCTGTTATCAGAACTTGCCTCATAGATGTTTCTTCTTATGTTATGCATTTATCAATATTCCTTTCATGCAGTAATGACTTCAATATAGAATCATCTCTGTAAGTCAAAAACTGCAATCGTTTATCTTTGGTTGCCATGATTTACAAAATTGTGTGTAAATGCAGCTTCCTTTTTTTTTTTTTTTTTTTTTGATAAACAGTGGTTTGAATTCCAGTAATTTTACTGAGTCTTACTTTAAATCAGGGTAGACTTATGGGAATCAACAGAGTTAAGGTTGGTCACAACTAACTTACTATGACTCTGAAGCATGAGGAAATGTGGATCCTACTGAACTGGTTCACCCTATCCTATATTCCATAACTTTATTCTCACATAATGGTTCCCTTGCCTTGAAAAAATATTGGTTACTGAAGCTATTTAAAAAGGTAAAGGTTCCCCTTGACAATTTTTGTCCAGTCGTGTTTGACTCTAGGGGACGGTGCTCATCCCCGTTTCCAAGCCATAGAGCCAGGTTTGTCCGAAAACAATCTTCTGTGGTCACATGGCCAGTGCGACTTAGACACCCAACGCTGTTACTTTCCCACCGAGGTGGTCCCTATTTATCTACTTGCCTTTGCATGCTTTCGAACCGCTAGGTTGGCGGGAGCTGGGACAAGCGACGGGGGCTCACTCCCTCGCGTGGATTCGATCTTACGACTGCTTGGTCTTCTGACCCTGCAGCACAGGCTTCTGCGGTTTAGCCCACAGCGCCACCACGTCCCTTTTACTGAAGCTATTTAATACATAATAATTATTTAGAGCTTAGAAATATTAATATTCTACGTACTCCAGCGCTTACAAAGGACATTTTAGTTTGCACCTGTTCTTTAGAGAAGTAAATCACACTAGAGTAGGTCCATTAAATTAATGAGGATTTGCCAGGAGTTGCCTACTGTACTCCACAACAACCAAACACAGTGGTCCAGTCAAAAAAACTAAGTAACGTTCAACATTTTGGCCTCCGTAGGGATCCAACAGTATACTTCCACAGGTTCCCATAACATCCATAAGAATCTGGATTCCTCTCTCCCAATACCCTCTGGAGCAGAGAGACAGTCTGTGTCTGTGTCTGTGTCTGTGTGTCTCTCTCTCTCTGTGTGTACACTGATATCTGTTGCAAGGTGTCCCATCTTCCCCCTGTGTCTGTGTGTCTCTCTCTCTGTGTGTGTACATTGTTATCTGTTGCAAGGTGTCCCATCTCCCCCCTCATTGAGAAGGCTGCAACAAAATCACACTTCAAAAGTAATGTAACAAATGAGAATGAATTTACTCAATAATTCCTTGTCACTTTTAAGAATTAATTGTTAAAAGTCTTTTTAGGGGCATTCTAACAAAAAATATCAAATTTTTCTCCATTTTAACACCTTTTCTTGCAGGTTATGAGGTAACAAGCAATGTGTGCAACAAGTTGCATTTTTACACTGAAACATGTAGCAATATGTACTTTTAAAAGTACAATAAAAACTTTTAAAAAATAAATTCATTCCATTAGGAATATATATTATATATATATTAAAAACCTAAAGGAATGAATTTATTTTAAAAAGTCACTTTCCAAGATTTTATTTATTTTATTGAATTTCTACCCTGCCCATCTAGACCAAAGGTCTACTCTATTCCTCTGAACTCAAGGCACCTATTCTTGAACAAAAGAACTCCAGAAAGTCACCATGAGTTTCAACTCTGTGTCCATCAATAAGAATAGAGGAGCAATATTGTATTACACATATTAATTAAGTGGATACTCTGGACTGCCAAAAGAACGGCATGTGGGTGCAAGATCAAATCAAGCCTGAGCTATCTCTGGAAGCAAAAATGATAAGACTGAGGTTGTCGTACTTTGGGCACATCAAGAGAAAGCAAGATTCACTCAAAAAGACAATAATGCTGGGAAAGGTGGAAGCCAGCAGGAAAAGAGGAAGACCAAATGTGAGATGGATTGACTCCCTACAGAAACCACAGCTCTTGAGTTTACAAGAGCTGAGCAGGGCTGTTGAGGACAAGGCATTTTGGAGGTCATTCATTCATTGGGTTGCCATAGGTTGTAGCATAGAACAACAAGAAGCAGTGAAAGGATGTAAATATGGACTGGAACTACTGATTTATTAACAGACACTGTTAAGGTACTGATCATGATGCATTTTCCATTTCAATTTTCTCTGAATCTACTGATCACAACTCTGCCACCGTCTCATTCAAGCATGTGTATAAACAATCTTCTCAACTGAAATAACTTTCAAAGCAGTCTGCTGTTATCCCCAAGAGTGTGTGCCATAAGGCAACGCATTAGTCTTCAAAGGAACCCCAGTGGCAACTTTAAAACAACTTCCAGCCTCATCTAAAGTGGAGGTGCCTGGCGAAATTCATCCTGCCAAGAACTTAACATCTAAGAATAACCGCCTGGCAATTCCCATCTTGCCATGAACTTTTGGTTCTTGTTTTGAAGAAGTGGGATTTACCCACGAATGTATGATTTTTTTTAAATTTTTTCTTAGTGGCCTATTAAATACATCGCCTGTTCTTGCAAAGTAACCCAAGGCTCTTATTTTGCGTCTGCGGCCACAGGTTAGTGTGGCTGCCCTTCTGGAAATTGTTAACACAGGTTAGTAATTGATGCTGGTGATGAAGATCTCTGTGTTTCCTGAGTCTGTTTCTATTGACAGAGCAACTGCTTGGTGATCCATAGGGTCCCTTCCAGCTTTGCAGTTCTAAGACCATATTGCCGCCCCGAGTAGACATTGTCTAGAGGGGCGGGGTAGAAATCTAATAAATAAATAAAATAAAAATACTTGGATTTAGAAACAACCACTGTCCTGGGATCTCCACGTTAGCTGCATCGGGTTTTTCCTCGGGTGCCAGCTCTACCCAACGGATGTGTGCCCTGCTATTCCAATCAATACGACAGCCTAGACCGCCGCTAGTACACAACATTCGGTAGCGCCTACAGCCGGCATAATTAGCCAGATTTTAGCACGAACGCTACGCAATCGCTGGGTGACGCAATCACCGTGCGCCAGCGCCTTCCATCGCCGCCGCCGCCGCCACCATGGAATCTAACCGGGATGAGGCGGAGCGTTGTATTGCTATTGCGGTGGCCTCCATCAAAGCCCACCAGACCGAAAAGGCGCGTCGCTTTTTGGAGAAGGCGCAACGCCTCTACCCGTCTCAGCGGGTCCGCGGTGAGCGGGACGGAGGGAGAGGGGGAAGGCACGGAGAGGCGGGGGGGGGACCCCGCGGCCTATGGCTGCCGGGCTGACCTCTCACCTGCAGCGCGCGTGCCTATGGGCTGGGGAAAGCGCGGGGCTTCATGGGACATGAAGTCCATTGCCTGCTTAAGGGCAGGGGTAACGCGGGCTGCGGAGTGAGTCTTATCAGGAAGTCTTCGTTCTGGGCGCGGGGACTCGTGGGCAGTTCCGCTAGAGAAGACGAGGCTCTCGTCGTGAAGGAGAGGAATGAAGAGGTTTTCCTCCCTGACCTCAGTCGAGAAGACTACAACTCCCAGAGGCCATTGCGCAGTGTGTGAAGGGGCAAAAATCCTATTCCGAAGGATAGGAATTGCCTCCTGCCCCCCCAACCCCCCCAACCCCAATTGCCGCCACTCTGACCCCCAGCAGAGACTCCCTCTCGCCGACCGATCCCCCTTCCTCGGGCTGCCGCCTTCGCGCGTCTGAAATATTTAGGCATTTCTCCCCGAAAACGAGTTTTCTCTTTTTCTATAGGCCTTTGTTGAGGGCTTCAGTATTGTTCCTCACCTCTTTCGCGAAAATTATGCGTTTATTTCTCTCCTCTGGGTGGATCATTAATGGCTGGTCTTTAGCGCTACAGTTTTTAACCTGCCCATCTCCAAATACAGTACTAAGTCTTTAAAATCAGTGCCCATCTATACTGCAGGTCAGGGGTTCTCAGCCTTTGGCCCTCCAGATATTTTTTAAATCAGTCCAAAGGTGTTACGTTTCCAAACTCCATTGGCCCTGCTGGCTTCGGATTTAGGGGATTAAAGTCGAAAACACCCGGATTACTAAAGACTGAGGGCTGCTGTTATAGATTGACACCTGCTACCATTGACGACTCTCACTCAATATAACCTCCATTTTCAGAGACGGGTGTTAAAACTGACATCTGGAAAGGGCTTCTGCTTTCAAGTCCTTCTTGAGGGCTTGTTTGAAATGTCCTGCTGGGCACTCAGTGGAAACAGGGTGCTGGTTTTTATGAATCCTTGATTCACACCAGAAAGAGAAATCTTTTGCTCACCCAAAAGAGCAACATAGTCTTTGCCTTGTTTGTTTTTCTTCCTATGAGCTTAGCTCCTCTTCCCCTTTTGTTCCTTGTTACCATCAGGATTTGCTCAGCATTTTGCCACTGACTTTTCAGAAGCCTGTGTTTTTGGCCTCCTCTCACAAGTATTCCTGTGCTCCATTCAGAAATATAGTCCTTGTTGCAAATTCTTTATGTGCTGTCAATTTCTATATAATCAGCACACTGTTTTTCTTGCCATCTACCCACCTTCATTTCCCCACTCTTGATGTATTCTTGGGGAGAAGCCAAATATATCTTGTCAAGTCACGTGTTGTTCAGCCTGTCACCTTGTCTTTTTACAGTTGTATAAACAGGTGGAACATTACCCTTTGCTCCATCTGTAAGGGAAATTGTCATTTGTGAGACTCTGTTTGTCATATGCTTGTTAAAAAAACAGGCCTTCATGAGAAAAGGTCTGCAACCCTATGAAGGATTGCTGTTTGTCAGAACTGCTGTGAAATGATGTGTAGAAACTCAGAAGTACTGCAAGTGTGGCATCACATGTGCCCTGTTCTTGTTAATTTTCTGGTGTGGAAACAGAGTACATTCTTTTACTAATCTTTTACTCTAGTTTTCAAGCTTTTCTCTCGCAACGCTTTCCATTATGAAGAGATGGAAACATAAAGATACAGTCCTCAGCAGGATTTAGAGCTTTGGTTCCCAACCTTGGGTCCCCAGATGCTCCTGGACTAAAACTCCCAGAAGCCTTCACCACTAGCTGTGTTGGCCGGGATTTCTGGAAATTGTAGTCCAAGGACATCTGAAGACCCAAGGTTGGGAACCACTGCTTTAGAGAAAGGGAAGAACAGAATTTTTTTAACATCTCAGGAAAGAAGGGCATATAATGAATATATATGTTATAGTTGTGCTGAATGTGAACATCTTTGAAGCTGAAAGTAGTACTTTTTAAAAAGTATATGCTGGGGAAATGACTGTACCTAAACCCGTTTTGTGTATCTGTTTTAAAAGAACACCTGTTTCTCCCCATAAAGTAAACCTGTGCTAATCAGGAATCATATAGTCAGGATGACTCTTAAGATCTGGTGACATCAGGAGATCCTTCCTGCCTTTATTTTGAGGAAGTAGACACTTCCTTGTTGCAGCCCTGCCTTCCCACAAATTACCACTCAAGGAGAAACTGTCTTTTGTTACTCATCAAAGGTGCCACTTCCACCTTTCAGCTTAGACCCATATGAATACTTGAATTGCCTGTGTGATACCTCTGTTCACAGACATTGCATCATGCAGCTTCCTGTACAGAAGCTTGGGAAATATGTCCATTTGCAGTTTACATGTGTGTAACAGACTACATGTTATGACAGATGTTATGGTCCGCATATGATTCATCCTAATTCCTAAGAGGCAGCACTTTCTTTCCAAGACTTTTGTGATGTTAATGGGGTCCCTATTCCTTAAGAAACAAAATCACAGTGATTTTGCCCAAAGCAGTTTGGAAGTCATAAGCAGTTTGAATGTCATATTACTGTTTTCTTTTACAGTCTGTCCATCTTTTTATTTTGTTTTGTTTTTGCTATGGTATTACAGAATGTTTGGAGTATTTCTTTTGGAAATAGTGTTTTCAACCTTATTTTTCCCTGATTGAAAAATGACTCAATAAGACGGAATGGGAACCAAGCAAAGTGTAGGCTTTAATGAATGAAACCAGTGTTGGAAACTTCTGTAGGGCAGAAGAAGTTTAAAGTAAAGTCTGTCTGTCCCACTGCTTGCACAATTCAGTGCTTAACACATTTTCTCTCAGTTGGGAATCATACCTTTAGGATATCATATCCGTCACCAGAACTGCTCATTTACAGATGGTGAATTTTGACAAAAGTAATGCCTCTAGGTGGCTGACAAATCTAGCATTTAATTTTGGGGAGGTGGTGGTTTCCACGGTGCCACTGACCCCAATGAGTGCCTTATATATGCAATTTAAAGAAGTTATATCCACTCTCTTAATTTGGGACTTCCTGTTTTTCTTATTTTATATGGCATGTCACAACCTGTATTAGATACCACCCAGGACCTACTTTTCCTAGGTGTTCAGAGAGATTACTTTGTCCTTGCAAAGGCCACCAACCTAGAAACATACTTTTCTTGGAGAAGAACTCCCTGAGTTCCCCATCTGGCTATGCTGGTTGAAAGCTTGTGTGAATTATAGTCGAGAAGGTAACATTTCCAGTCTGGCCAAAGTTAAAGCTTACAGGGGTGCTAAGCCAACATGAAAAAGTTGTGTAATCACAATTACACAATTACCAATCACAATTACCAATTAAGATAATTCTCTGGATAACATACTCATCTGCCCATGAATTTGACCATCCTACAGCGATTAATTTCCTCTAATGTTGCTTAAGAGATAGAACTGCTCTTGCAACATCAGGCTGCAAAGACAGGGGGTTTCCTGCTTCTCTCTTCGTAAAGAGTTGATGTGGTTGGGACAGAAGGAAAAAGAAGGAATGAAAAGGACAGAAAAATGCAATTGCAGATTAACTTAGAGGCAGCTTGTTCTGTTCTTTCCTCACATACAACTGCTGCTTCATAACAGCTTAAGCAGCCATCGTGTTTGTTCTTTTTCAAGTGTTCATTTTGCAGGGCAGGAATTCATGATAAGCTGGCTGAATAGCTCGGTGTATTGGGGACCTAGCTGCAGAGCCAAAGATTAGATGTTAGAATCCCCATTGTGCCTCCCAGGAAAAGAAGCAGCCTGTGTAGTCTTGGGCAAAATGCACAGTCTCAGAGTGTTCCCTGAAAAAATGATAAACCACTCCTATTATTCACCTAGAAAACCCTGGAAAGGGTCAGCATAAGCTAGAATCAGCTTGATGGCATGTGATTATTCTAGTACCAAGCATGGTGTGGAGGATAGAATGATGGATTAGAACTAGAGATGGGGATATTTGTATTTGTATACAAATACCCCCCCGCACAGCTGGATGTAACCATCCACTCATGCGTTCGCTGCCACCGCCAGCTCCGCTCTCCCTTCCAATCACCCCAAAGCTCACGGTTGGCTATCCACTTGTCAGCCTGGCAGGAAGACTCATCTTCCCTCCTACTGCCAGGAGTGGATAGTTGACCATGAGCTCTGGAGCGATTGGAAGGGAGAGTGGAGCCAGGGGCAGCAGCAGATGTGTGAGTGGACGGTCGAGCCCCAGGGGGCTGGATCCTCATTACGTTCAGCTGTGTGGGGGTATTTGTATACAAATACCCCCATCTCTAATTAGAACTCAAGAGACCTGGATTTGAACCCGTGTTTGGTGATTACATCTCACTGGAGAAGGCTTATAACTGATAAAAACACTCCTCAAATGCTTCGTTTTTCTTGAAAGCCCAATTGCTGTAACACAGTTTTGACGTGATGGCACATAGCACACACGTATTCATGATGAGACAAAAGGATGTGTATAGCCTTGCTTGCCCACTGCTGGAAGGAAGGTCAGTTCAGAACAGAAGCAGAGCCCTGCTGGATCAGGCCAAGGGCCCATCTATTCCAGCTTCCTGTATCTCACAGTGGCCCCACCAGATGCTCTGGGAAAACACAAGACAACTAGATACCTGTTTCCTGATACCCCTCCCCTGCATCTGGTATTTGGAGGTACCTTCCTTCTAAGCCTGGAGATTGTACATCCCCATCATGGCTTCTAACCTATGATGGACTTTTCCTCCAGAAATCTGTCCAATCCCCTTTTAAAGGCCAGATGCCATCGCCACATCCTGTGGCAAGGAGTTCCACAGACTAACAATGTGCTGGGTAAAGAAATATTTTCTTTTGTCTGTTTTCACTCTCCCAACACTCAATTTGAGTGGATGTCCCCTGGTTCTGGTTTGGCGTGAGAGGGAAGAGAGCTTCCCTCTATCCACATTATCCATCCCTTCCATA